TGAACTTTTTGGGGGGTTAATCAGATGCACTTTAAATGATGGCAGGTGTGTACTGACTCCTATTTACCATAATTTTGAATGTGATTGCTTAATTCTAAACACAGCTACATCCCCAGTTATAAGAGGGTGTGCACACTTATGCAACCACATTGTTTTAGTTTTTTATGTTTACTCTCCCCCCCCCAACAAAAAGATTTCAGTTTGTTTTTTAATTGAGGTGTACAGTTTTATAGGTCACATTAAAGGTGAAAAAAGTTCTGAAATTATTTATCTTTGTCTCATTTTTTTACATCACAGAAACCTGACATTTTAACAGGGGTGTGTGTAGACTTTCTATATCCACTGTACAACCTCTAATGCGTAGTGAAAGAGGTTCAGTCAGTTAGGATATTAATACTATAACAACTTGAATAAAATATGAATATGTTTTGCAATCCACTTGTGGGAGCAAGAGGTAGGTTCCAGGACAAAGAATGGTATTGAAATGCTCATCAACTCAATAACAATCTCCTAGAGAAAGGCATTTGCAAGCCTGAGGCTTCATAGAAATATAAACCTTGAAGTGTCATTTAAAGAATCCTGTATAAACAAATTGGACAGGGGAAAGAGCAAAATTCCCTTCTCACTCGCAAAACCCATGGGACTGGCCAATAGAAGGGTTAGACAGTAAAAAGAAGATATCCACCTAACCTCCCCTGTTTTGTTAGGAACATGTTTCCCAAAGAGTAGTACAAGGGAGAAGCTGTATTTTACCATTCAGAATATTGAACACTAAATAAAACTATATGTACATAGCAATAAGGGCAGGCTTAGTGGAAGATCTATATTATTTGCAATTGGTGAAAGGTGAGATGATAATTCAGTTTGGCCCATTGGGCTATAGGGAGGATATAACCCTCTATTATGTTATAAAAGTGTATGCTTCCAACACCACCAAATTCAGCCCAGTAGCAACCTAATATTAGCGCCAAGGTCTTTGTGATCCTCAGGACTGAATATCTAGAAGGATTCAAGCACAGGTATTATTGAAGCTACATATGTGTATAGGGTCCATCCTGAGCAAGTGTTATCATACACAGAGTTCAGTGATGAATATAGAGTCTATTGGGACCAAATGAAATGAAATGACCCCTTTGACGTCAAGGATGTTTAACTGCACATTCCTATTTGTGAGGGACATCAGTGTTTCCTACACCTTTCGATCTGGCCTCCACTCCCCGGGCACTTATCAAGGTCTTGGCACTAGATCTGGCCTTGCTGAGACAGCAAGAGATCGCAGTGATTGGTTACCTGGATGACTTGCTTCTACGTGTGGAGCCTCAGTCACCCTTGATGAACAGCGTGGAGATCACAAAGTGTTCTTTACAGGACTTTGGATGGAGCCTGAACCTCAGAAAGTCTGTGTTGACCCCATACAGGTGCTTGGAGTATCTGGGGTTGATTCTTGATTCAGAGCAGACCAAGGTGTTCCTTCAGACAAACTCCAGAAACTCCAATCGGCAGTCTGGCAACTCTCTTGTCTTGCAAGTGGCCCTACCTGTGTTGAACCACTGGCAACCTTCGCCAGTGGTTCTGTATGCCCAGTTCCATATGAGAAGGAATCCTATCCAAATGAAACAGGTCTTCTGCTTCTGCTTCCCTAAGCAAACATATTCATCTGGAACGGTCGACAAGGCCTCTTTTCTTTGGTGGCTGCGGTCTCTATCTCTACAGACCAGAAAGTCCTTCCTTCCCATTCACTGGACTGTGGTCATGACGGATGACAGCTTGTCGGACTGGGGAGGAGTCCTGGAATCAGACTCGCCTCAGTTTCACCCTGAGCACATGTGACAGATGTGAAAGGGTCTGGAGAAACCGTGGAGAATGTTGTACTGCTTGTAACATCGTTCAGCATGACCGTTTTGGTGGTGGATCAGTGATAGTCTAGGGAGGCATATCCATGGAGGGATTCACAGACCTCTACAGGCTAGACAATGGCACCCTGACTGTCATTAGGTATTGGGATGAAATCTTTGAACCTATTGTCAGACCCTACGCTGGTGCAATGGGTCCTGGGTTCCTCCTGGTGCACGACAATGCCCAGCCTCATGTGTCGAGAGTATACAGGCAGTCCCTGCAGGATGAAGGAATTGATGCTATTGAATGGCCCCCATGCACACCTGACCTAAATCCAATAGAACACCTCTGGGATATCATGTCTCAGTTCATCTGCTGCCACCAGGTTGCACCTCAGACTGTGCAGGAGCACAGTGATGCCCTGGTCCGGATCTGGAAGGAAATACCCCAGGACATCATCTGTCATCTCATTAGGAGCATGCCCTGACATTGTCAGGCATGCATACAAGCACATGGGGGACATACAAACTACTGAGTAGCATTTTGAGTTGCTGCAATGACATTTCAGCAAAATGGACTAGCCTGCTGCATAATTTTTTCACTTTGATTTTCGGGGTGTCTTTGAATTCAGTCCTCTGCAGGTTAATAATGTTCATTTCCATCAAATGATGGGGCATTCTTATGTTCCGAACACATTACCCAGTCCATATCAGTATAGTTATCCAGCATAATATTTTTCACCCATTGAGATCTGATGTGTGTTCAGTGTTCCTTTAATTTTTTTGAGCAGTGTGTGTGTATATATATATATATATATATATATATATATATATATACATATATATATGTACGGTATCTTCTGCCCTCTGTGAAAAACCCATTATTAATATGATGAGTGACTTTTAAGATACAGTATGTGCACATAAGCTCCTCTTCCATCTATTTATTTTCATATTTCCATTTAAATCTGATATTATATATCTACATCTGGTATTGATATCATAGATTTTGTTGGGCAAGGGCCATAGCCATTTAGATCTTAGTAATACATGTCTGTGTTTCCTTATGTGCCCGTTAATATCTTTGACATACAGTTAGGTCCATATATATTTGCACACAAGCACAATTTTAGTTTTTTTTCAGGTATTTACCAAAATGTATTCAAGCTATAGTTATATAATGGATGTGGGTTGAAAGTGCACACTCTCAGGTTTAATTTGAGGGTATGTACTGTACATCCAAATTGGAGGAAGGGTTTAGGAATTACTTTAGGAATTACAGCTCTTAAGAGCAGCCATCACCCCTTTTTCAAGGGACCAAAAGTAATTGGACAGTTGAATCAAAAGCTGTTTCATGGCCAGATGGGCTGCTCCTTCGTAATTTCTTCATCAATTAAGCAGGTAAAAGGTCTGGAGTTTACTCTAAGTGTGGTATTTACATTTGGAATCTATTGCTGTGAACCTACATCATGCGTTTAAAGGAGCTGTCCATGCAAGTGAAATAGGCCATTGTAAGGCTTCAAAAATTAAACAAATCCATCAGAGAGATCGCAGCAACATTAGGAGTGGCCAAATCAACAGTTTGGTACATTCTGAGGAAAGAAGAGCTCAGCAACATAAAAAGACATGGACATCCATAGAAGACAACAGTGCTGGATGATCGCAGGATCCTCTCTATGGTAAAGAAAAACCCATTCACAACATCCAGACAAGTGAAGAACATTCTCCAGGTGGTGAGCGTATCATTGTCAAAGTCTACAATAAAGAGAAGACTTCAAGAGAGTAAATACGGAGGGTTCACCACAAGGTGCAAACCATTCATAAGCCTGAAGAATTGAAAAGGTAGATTAGACTTTGCCAAAAAACATCTAAAAATAGTCAGACCAGTTCTGGAAAAGCATTATTTGGACGGATGAAACTAAGATTAATCTGTACCAGAAATGACGGGAAGAAAAAAGTGTGGAGAAGGCTAGGAACAGCTGATGATTCAAAGCACACAACATAATCTGTAAAACATGGTGTAGGCAGTGTGATGGCCTGGGCATGCATGGCTTCAATTGGCACTTGATTATTGGTGTTTATTGATGATGTGACAGCAGCAGCAGGATGAATTCTGCAGTGTTTAGAGATATACTGTCAGTTAAGATTTAGCCAAATGCAGCAAAGTTGATTGGATAGTCTTCACAGTACAGATGGACAATGATCCAAAACACACTGCAAAAAAAGTAAAAGAAGTGGAATATTCTGCAATGGCCAAGTTAATCACCTGATCTCAACCCAATTGAGCATGCATTTCTCTTGCTGAAGGCAAAACTAAAGGCAGAAAGGCCCACAAAGAAAAAACAACTTTAGACAGCTGCAGTTAGAGCCTGGCAAAGCATCAGAAAGGAGGAAACCCAGTCTTTGGTAATGTCCTTGTGTTCCAGACTTCAGGCAGTCATTGCCAGTAAAAGATTCTCAACAAAATATTAAAAATGAACATTTTATTTATCATTATCTATAGAGGCCCAAATGGGGCCCTATTTAGCAAGCTGTATTGTAAACCAACAGCTGGTAATGTTATTTTACACGATTTGCACTTTCATCCTCATAAATTCCATTCCTTACAGTCAATATCTGAGAGTAAGATGGAATTGTTCAGACGATGCATCTTTTTTTATTGAGGCCAAATAATTACAAATGAGGCTGTTAGAGGATACTCATGGAGTTCCTTTAAGAAGGCATACAAAGCCGCCCTTTCTAAAACTAGAAATCATTTACTATATAATAAAAAAGTAAATCAAAATACAAATCCAGTAGCCTCCCTAGCAGTCTGATTATGTCAGTATTTCTGTGCTCAAAGCGGTACATTTTTTTGCATGGAAATATGTAGTTTTTTTTATTGTAGGCCTGTAATTTTTAGGAATAACTCACTGAAATCTGTCCGAACAAGAGTCTAGTAAACATCCCAGGTACGTTAAAATTTGAAACACGAAATCAAAAAACTATAATTTAATAAATAATCATACAAAATAATAATATAATAGTAATAAATTTAATTCAATAATATAATCAAACCAAAAACACTGAAATTTGAAATATAGTGCCAAGTTCACACATTGCTGAGCAAAGTCGCAAAATCGTTTTCAGTGTCTGATGACAAATTTCCCCACGAATCATTATCACTCAATTCTGCAAGTGGTTCTAATTTACTATCGCTGTTCTCTAGCCGGTCTAAAACCGATTTTGACCAAAGGGATGCTCTTTGGAAGGAATGGACGTTTCTCATTTTCCAGGCGGAAAGAAGAGTAAAAATGCAGGCAGGGCACAGGACAAAGCACTAGGGACAAAATGTATGTGAAATGCTTTGATACAGTAATGTTTTACTATGTGATTTTAGTGTATTAGTGAATGTCAGTTTTTAAAATTTTCAAATTTCCTGCCGGTTCTGGCCCCCATACATCCCGACGTTTGCAGGGACCGGAACACGGAAGATGGATGCCGGCATCGGCCGGAGGAGATGGCCAGGGACGCTGCAGGGGACACATCGTGGGAGCTCAGGACAAGGTAAGTGCTGCAGGGAATCACCGAGCAAAGTGTAGCTCGGGGTTACCGCTTTTGGTACTGAAACTTTACCCCGAGCTACACTCGGGAATACCGCCAGGGAGGTTAAGAAAGATCTGAAATCACTTTTATACCTGCAAAAATTGGATACCCTGGTCCAAAATTTTGGCCCCACCAAGCGTTTTTTCACACGTTGGAGGGCCTTTATTGAACATACATTCTCCCAACGGGAAACTTATGGTTACATTTCAATACACCACCTGGTATGCTAAATCCAACCTGGCTAATACCCTAGGTCAATTGAAGGTCTTGGACCCTACATTTATTATGGGGAATTACTTTCTCTTACACCTGTAGGGCAGACGGAGTAGGAATCGTTAGCCCAAGACTCTATCCTTATCCCTCAGAGATTCTTATTCAGTATTTTTGTCCTAATCCTTGGGAATCTGTTTGATGTAAATGTACTCCTAGCCATGTGAATTATCCTTTCTGTTAATATGAACTGATATGTGCCACTTTGGGAGGGAGTCAAGCTCTCCAGTCCTGAACTTTACACCCTCCCATATATGTATGAATATGACGTGTCTCACTCGTGAATGACAAGCTTTCCTCTGCTTATTTGTCTTGCAGGGTACATTCCATTTTGTTATTCTGCTGATCTGCTATTCATTTGTTGTTTTTGTCTCCTTCCTGGTTCCTATGTATAGGGAACCTGAATATTATTTTCCTTTTGTTATATTGTGAAAACAAACATTGAAATCTGAATAAAAATAATTTAAAAAAATGGTGACACTCGAGGTAATCCCTGTAAATATAAGGGTATGTAGCTCATGTAGATACTGTAAGTACATGTGTACTGATAGAAATAATAGGCTTCCAAATGGACAATTGTTTTACCCCAGTCATTATGCAAATTGTAAGATGTTTGGGGTAACTTATCTTCTATTATGTGATTGTGGCTGTTACTATTTTGGGAAAACCAAGAAGGAATTTTGGACATATTAAGAGCATGTAAAGTTGTAATCCTGATTTACCCTTCGGTAGACATGTTACGACTTTGCATCAAAGGAAATTTCCAAAATTTTAATTTTTGATTCTTGACCGCATTCATCCTAGCAATAGGGGAGAAGACTGGAAAAAACATCTCCTACAAATGGAACTCAGATGGATTTATCAACTTGGGGCTTAATCACCCAAGGTTTAAATGAGGCCATTAGCTATAAACCCTTTCAAGAAGGCTTTATATCGGAGGGTTGGGAGTCCTAAGAAATATAGGGAATTTCAACCTACTCCCATAATTTTGTGCTTGGTTTAATATGGAGGTTAGAAATCTTTATTGTGTATTATAGGCTATCATTGTAATATTGGTGGAAATCAACCATATCAGCTGTCATCATGTTCAATGTGTAATATCTCCCCATTGATACAATGTAGTGTTGTTTGTGTTTCTTTCCCTTCTTTTTTGGTTATGTTCTACACAAATCATTTTTTTATTTTTTTTATTTTTTGAGTTCGAATTTAACCATGTAACAACTTCTTTTTCATTTCCCCCTCCTTTCCTGTCCCCTTTTCCTTGTCTTCCCTTTTCTCTTCCTCTGGTTTTGGTCCAGGGCTTGCAGGGCTCCAGCTTTGTATGGTTGGGTTGAGGTGTTGCTGATGACGGCTGCCTGGCACATGTGCGCTGTCAGGTTATATCCTGGCAGCAGGACTTGGGGGTGTGGACTAATGGGTGTGTCATTGGCCACCCAGCTCCTCCTCTCTTACGCATTTGCTATGCCCAAAGGCGTGCAATGCGTTTGTGGCCGTGGGCGGGCAGCACGTGATGTCATTCCACAATGTCAGCATACCTGCACATGGGCAGTAGGCCACGGATCGGCGTGGGGTGTCACCACGTGCAGTCTGCCCAGGGGGCCAATGAGAGTCAATTCCTTACTATCTCTTATGCCAGATGTATGCATTTAGGGAACAATTGCAAGCCTTTAGAAGAGGCATCCATATAAGTTTGAGCGTGTATCATCATTGCCACCTGGAGGGACTATCAGTGCTAAGGACCCATAAGCTAGCAGTGTAAGACTGAGACCAATATACCAATGACTCTAGATTACAATTTGGTTATGTTGATAAATATATATATATACATATTGTAACAGGGTTAGCTCGGCAGCGGGTGTGTGTGACCCCCTGGATGGGTGCACAACACAAAACAAAATAGGCACAGCACAACAATAGTGGAGGTGAAAACAAACAGGTGCAATTTATTTACAATATTTACAGAAAAAAATGATAAACAAAAAGAAACATCAAAATAAATCCTGGCCAACTTGGCTACTTACTGCAACAACAGCTTCTCCCTAGCTACCCACTAGGTACAGCCTGCTGCTATACCTAGTTGCTAGTACTTGGAGGCTAGCCACACAGGCTTTGGTCTCTCTGCACACAGGTAACAGGTCAGCTCCCCAGACAGTTCAGGCACAGATCTGGTTCCAGGGTGGAGCAACTCCCTAAGCACTCTGGGAGGTTTTATAGAGGTATTTAATGAGCCCACTACCTTCAGCTGGGCTCATTACCTCAGTGCTGAAGGACTCAGCACTTCCCTCTAGTGGTACAAATCCCCATAAAGCCTGAACCTTGGACAAATATATCGTCCATCCAGGACGCAACCAGGTGATTTCACCTGCCTACTGTCACAATATATATATAATGTCTTCCCTCTGTGCAAAACTCATTATTAATATGATGAGTGACCTTTAAGATATGTGCACATAAGGCTTCTTGTTCTCATGTATCGCTGTCATTTGTAAGTAATATTCTATATATATGCAAGCTAAATTTATTTTGAAATATGTATGTAATATAAGATAATATATATCCAATTACATTGTAGAGATGTGAAAACACTTAATACCCCTGAAGAAAGAGGTACAAGTTTCTGAAATGTGTTGGCTAAAGGGTATATGAAGTCACATGAACCATACAATTATATGTTGACAGCTATGTCAATATAGGTGTCGATATACTGTACATTCATTTGTAAACTGTATATGTGTTTTCCTCTTTTTAATTTTTGTATGCTAATAAAGATATGATGATCTTTTAGCTAAACATACATTTTTTTTTACTTGTTGTGATATATGCTCAAAAAATCCCAGGAAAAAGGGAATAGAATTATTTGTTCTATATATGGTGCGGACCACAAGAGAATTACATGTCAGATTAGAGGAACATATAGGTAATATAAAGATGTGGATTTCAGGGACACAGTGTATCTAAACATTATGCCCTATGTCATAATAAATATCTTGCTGGCACAATGTTTATGGCAATTGAGAAACATAACCCTCATTGGAGAGGTGCAAATGCACATAGAAACATTTCACATCTTGAGACTAGATGGATATTCGATCCCAAATGTTATACTCTATTAGGTCTCAACATAGAGTGGGACATAAATGATTTCATTAATAATAGTTGAAATGATTTGTACTCTAACTTTTTCAATTTTTTCCTTTTTTTTTGGCTACAATGTTTTTCTTCTTAGAAGATTGGATTATATTAGATTTTTTCCCCTTTTCTTGACCTCAGGTTCAGTGTTTATATTTTTGTCAGTTAAATTTCAGGGGGGCTTCTATAGTTTTTATATAATGATTTTGTAGATTTCTATTTGGTAATATTTATATATACAGAAATATGTGGTTAACACATTTCCAGGAATGTTTAGGGAATAATTTCTGTCCTCAAAGATATTTTAATATTTGTGAAATAAATTTCTTGTTTTTAAACCAAATTTTTTATAACAACACATTTAGGATATTATTGTAGCACCCTCTTAGTTACACAAGGTGGAGCTAGATCCCTAATGGTAAGACAGGAGCTGAATAACAGCTCAGGTGCAATAGCCAGAGGGGTCAAATTCGGGTCAGGGCTGAGAGACCTTGCAGGCCAGCCCCCTGGAATTTCCCCATGCTCTGAGGCTTTTGGAGGAGGGCCTTGGAGGCAGTGGGTGGATATGAGGAGTGGTCTGCCGCATGTTTGAGGGACCTCATGCAAATCCCCAACAGGAGGCTTGGTAAGGGGCTGGACTCTCTTAAAAGGTGTTAGAGTCTGCTCATTGGCAGGAGTTGGAGGTGGTAGGAGAGGAGTGTGATACAGAAAGATGCGAGGCTGGAGGAAGAAAGCTGCCAGGAGGTCTGCTGGGATAGGGCCTGCCTGAGGAAGGACCACCTTTGTGGCAAGGAAGGAGCGGCCCAGCTGATAGGTCTGGTAGCAGCAGCCATTCCACAAGCTGTACAGTAGAGGATCTGAGTGAGAACACCTGCACCCCCTGAGTGGATAGGGAAAGAAGCACTCTGGTGGGAAACCAGATTAGCCCTTTGCTAGTGACTGTGCACCTACCTTACTTAAGGCAAATGGAGTCAGATCCTCTGCTCAGGAAAAAAACCTTCAGATTTCTGGGTGAAGAGGACTTCCTCTAGAGTCTGTTTTAGTGCTAGCCAGCAGATCCATTTGTATTACCCCAGAGACTGTTTGTTAGACAGAAGGCGCTGTGAATAGTTCAGGAAGTTGTCTTCAGATTTCAGTTCCCTTGGGCATCCTATACACCATTATACCCTATCCAAGTTTAAACCCCTCTATAAAACAACAAAACCAACGCATCTGATTTCTGTCTGTGGATGAAAGCTGAGTGGAAAATGCTAACTGACTGGCTGTGCAGGACTATAGGGGGACCCAAATTCATCAGCAACCCCTAAGGGGGTAGTGCTACATTATGTTGGTTATTTGTGTTACATTTTTTGCACTCGTTTTTAACTTTTTGTAGTCAATTTTACTTTTGACCACAATATGGCGGATTATAGAAGTTGTCAAGAGAGTGAGAAGGCTCTTCTAAGTGCAGTAATGTGCAGCAATTTTATTGAACAATGCAGTTAAAAACACTCACAAAATCGCGGAATACAATAGGCTTATCAATAGTTATTCCATCCATG